TTTTTTTTTGTTTGTTTTTTTGTTTTTTAAGTAGGCTGCACACTCAGTGTGGAGTCCAATGTGGGGCTTGAACTCTACAACCTTACGATCAAGACTCCAGCTGAGATAAAGAGAGAGACGCCTAAATGACGGAGCCACCCAGGCACCCTTGTTTAGTTTTGGTTGTAGTTGTCCTAGTCAATGTGAAATGGTAGTTCATTGCGGTTTGGATTTTCATTTCCCTAAGGACTAGTGGGGCTAAGCATCCTCTCATGTGTTTGTTGACTATTTGTGCATTTTCTCGGGGGACATGTCTATTCAAATCCTTTTCCCATTTTTATTTTTTATTATTAAAAAATTTTTTTTAAATTTAACTCCAAGTTAGTTAACATATAGTGTAATAATTATCTCAGGAGTCGAATTTAGTGATTCATCACTTACCTGTAACACCCAGTGCTTATGCCAACAAGTGCCCTCTTTAATGCCCATCACCCATTTAGTCCATCCCCCCTCCAACACCCTGCCAGCAACCCTCAGTTTGTTCTCTGTATTTAAGAGTCTCTCATAGTTTGCCTCCCTCTCAGTTTTTATCTTATTTTTACCTCCCTTCCCTTATGTTCATCTGTTTTGTTTCTTAAATTCCACGTATGAGTGAAATGATATATTTGTCCTTCTCTGACTTATTTCACTCAGCATAATACACTCTAGTTCCATCCACATTGTTGCAAATCCTTTGCCCATTTTTAAATTGGGTTGTCTTTTTATTGTAGAGTTGTAGGAGTTCTTTATCTCTTCTGGATACTAGACTCTTATCAGATATACTTTTGCAAAACTTTCTCACATTCTGTGTGTGTCCTTTCACTCTCTTGATAGTGTCCTTTGATGCACAAAAGTTTTTAATTTTGGTGAAGTCCAACTTTTCTTTTTTTCTTTTTTGATTGCTTGTGCTTTGGGTGTGAGTGCTAAGAAGAATCCACTGCTTAATCCAAAGTCATGAAGATTCTTCTAGTACTTTCATGGCTTTGCTTCTCACATTAAAAATTTTAAACCACTGGAGATTATTTCAGCCTAAATATTGAGGTACAGTGTGGCTATTTTCCCAAATATTAACTAGTTCAAAATTTCCTATCCATTTGTTAAATCAATTCTCCTCTGTTTTGAAAAGCTAATTTTTATCATATCTCAATTTCTTGAATGTATATTTGAGCCAATATACCACTATTTTCTAAAATGACATTTTCTAAAATACTTTAGATTCATTTTTGGAATTATTCTAGTATCTGAAATATTGGTATAGTATTTTCTTTTTTTTTAATGTTTTTATTTATTTTTGAGAGAGAGAAAGTGACAGAGCAAGTGGGGGTGGGACAAAGAGAGAGGGGGACAGAGGATCTGAAGCAGGCTCTGAGTTGCCAGCACAGAGCTCAAACTCAAGAGTGGTGAGATCATGACCTGAGCCAAAGTCGGACGCTCAACCGACTAAGCCAACCAGGCACCCCTGATACAGCATTTTCTCAAGCATTTTATCAGTATTTATCTCATGTCATTTCTACAACTACCCTATGAAGAAGACACATAGGTAGTTATGATAGACAATAGCATCCCTTTTTGCCTTTCTCTTTTATATATTTAATCCTTTCCCCCATTCATGCTATCACAATTATTTTTTATATCAATTATTAATTTATAATATTGTATTGTTTAGAACAGGCTTTGTGATGGATTCCAAGTCTGTCTTTTTTTTAAATTTTTTAACGTTTTTTTAATTTATTTTTGAGACAGAGAGAGACAGAGCATGAATGGAGGAGGGGCAGAGAGAGAGGGAGACACAGAATCGGAAGCAGGCTCCAGGCTCTGAGCCATCAGCCCAGAGCCCGACACGGGGCTTGAACTCACGGACCGCGAGATCGTGACCTGAGCTGAAGTCGGACGCCCAACCGACTGAGCCACCCAGGCGCCCCTCTTTTTTTTTTTTTTTTTT